ATGTCCGATTTACAACGTGTACATTGCATAAGCGGATAGATACATTCTCGGATTAACCGCTTGTTAATTTATATCATCACGTACGCGCACGATCGCACCTCGCCAATTCGGCTATCTCGTTCTCCAACACACGCGCGTGTCTCTTTTCCTTGCATTTGCAGTTTCCCAGCATTTGTCGTCTTACAAACATTTCCAGCTCAGTGCCCGGCGTAAAAGTTATCTCTGACTGATTTTCGTTCGTGAAAACACGCGCGCTACGAAAGAAAAAAAGCGAGATACACTAGGAAAAGTGTATTGTTGCGTGAACGAAAATTTGGTTGTACCAACAAAATAATTTGGTTAAAATATGCCCAACAAAACTTAGTTTAGTTCCTGTAAACAAATATCTTGTTGGATTAACGGTTTGTTCGTATAACGTAATACTTTTGTTGTAGCAACCGAAAAGCTTTAACTAAATGAATTTTGTTAAAAATACTATAATTTCTTCTTAATACATAAAATCTAAATTTTAGCGCACAGAAAGACAAAATAGTATCCGTTGTGCATTATTTTAGTTTATGTAAAATAATATTTCGTTATTATTTTTTATGGATAAAATTTTTATGGATAAAATAACTAAAATGCTTAATTTTTATATATGAAGTCTAAGAACAAAATCATTTGGTCCAGGAGAACAAAGCGGAAAAATATATTTAGTTGAGACAACTAAATATATTTGTTATATGAAACAAGATATTTAGCTATTAAAAAATGCTTCAACTAAACAGTTAGAGATTTTTAGAGACTACATTTTTTTTTCTTAGTGTATTTAATAATGTTAAAACATCATGCTTGCTACTACGCGTCTCCTCTCCACCCTCCGCGTCGAGACTTGTGTCACGCTCGGGAAAAATTTGCCCTCCAATTTCGCGCTCATGATAATTAGCGCACGTATGGCTCATGCCGTAAGCGGATGGACCTGGGAAACATAATGACGTCGTTACCTCTGTTTGCAAATTATTCACACCCTGCGCTGTGCAATTTCGAGAAGGCGCGCGCAAAGTTCTCGGAGGGCGCTCGGCCGAGCGCGGACAGAACGCAATGGATACGATTCCTGCGCTGCGTATTACGCGGCGAGTCAAATTGCCGTAAAAGCGTCAAAGCGTAAACGCGCGCAAAGTTAGTCAGAGCCGCGGAAATGTTTTTCGGCGGAAGTCTCTTCCCCCCGCGTACGACTGTGAACGCTGTTCTTCGTCCGACGTGAACGTCGAGCACTGCCAACTCGATCCGCACAGCTCGATCCGGCGATAACGCAGGCTTGTTTCCGGGATAACAGGACAGCCGAGAACGAGGAAATGTTTTGCCTCAATTAGAGAGCGCACGAGCGCGCTTTAAACTGTCCCGAGCGAAACGAATAACGTGCGCGCGAGAGCGACAGATATCTCGTCTTTCTCGCGTTCGGGAGAATTCTCGCGCTTTCGCGAATGCGGCGCATGAAACAAAGGATTCCCGCATTTTCGCGCGAAACGTCGCGCGGCAGCAACCGACCGGCTGGAGAATCGCAAATCCGTCACAAACGAATTAAACGACGCGCAGTCTACGAAAGAGCCGCCCGCGAGAGAGAGAGAGAGAGAGAGAGAGAGAGAGAGAGAGAGAGAGAGAGAGAGAGAAAGGCGGTGTTGTATCGGCCGGGAATTTCCCATTCCGCGAGTCAAGCGTGGCGTTTCGATCGCTTTTTAAACAAGCCGGAATAGAATTCAAATGCTCGAAGAGTCGGGAGAGTTGCGTAAACTCGTTACTCGGGTTTCAAGTGACGGCGAAATTGATACGTGAAATGGAATAACGACGTAACATACGAGGGCGCGAGTGCGTCCGCACGAGCGCGGAGAAAATTGCGCGATTCGAGGTCCGACTTCATGTGCGTCCCGCAATTTCCTGCACAGAGCGTATCTCTTATTAATGCAACCGACCCCGTACACATTTTCCCATCTTCGTATATCGTACTCCGGTTTGCCTGAAGTTAAACAAAGCCGGGATCCCATAAATACGGGAATTGCTATACACCTCGCTCGGATCAATCTTTAAAAAGGTTGAATTGTTAAGTTAGCCGACCACACACGGGATAAAGTAAACGGCGCATAAAACGGCGGTCGCGAGAATAAATTATAGCTGAACTGAAGCGTATCGCGCTTGGCATTTATCGGTCTCATACGACGGCGTGTCGCAAACATTAACAAACGTCTAATGTGATCTATTATATAAATAACGTTGGTAATTTCACGGACGCGCGTGAGCGCGGGAGGGGGGGGGATAATTACCGTCGCGTCACGCACTAGGAAAACAAATTTAGTATCTCTAACAAAACTGTTTAGTTGAAGCATTTTTTAATAGCAACCAAATATCTTGTTTTATACAAGAAAATATTTAGTTACAAATTATTTAGTTGTTTCGACTGAATATATTTTTCTGCCTTGTTCTCCTGGACCAAATGATTTTGTTCTTAGACTTCATATGTAAAAATTAAGCATTTTAGTTATTTTATCCGTAAAAATTACATAATAACGGAATATTATTTTACACATAAATTAAAATAATGCCCAATGGATACTACTTCGTCTTTCTGTGGACTAAAATTTAGATTTTATATATTAAGAAAAAATTATAGTATTTTTAACAAAATTCATATATAGTTATAAAGCGGTTTTCGGTTGCTATAACAAAAGTATTACGTTATACGAACAAACCGTAATCAAACAAGATATTTGTCCACAGGAACTAGACAGTTTTGTTGGGCATATTTTAACCAAATTATTTTGTTGTTAAAACAAAATTTTCGTTCACGCGACAATACATTTTTCCTACCAGTGCGATACTACGAATTATCGAGCAGCTCGCGAAGAAATGCGATTGATCGTAAACGCATATTTCACCTCTCGATATCCGCCGATTGCTGGCTGGCAAAACGCGGGATGCCGTGCGCAGGATTGTAATCCTGCACGCGGTCCGCACGATATAATCCACTTGTCTTCCCGACGGCGCGAGAGAATCCTTGGCACTCCCTTCGCGCTTGGAAGCTTGGAACGTTTGCTACCGCAGTCGCGTACTTTTATCGCGACATTCTACCGCGTCTACTTATTCTTCCCTACATTCGCGAGAACTGTCCCCCGAATGTCCATCGGGAGCGAGAAACCGAGCTCGCGCGAACCCCGGAACATTCTCCATCTCCGAGGGAAGCACTTCGCTTCCTCCCTCGAACATTCCGTCTCGCATTCATTCTCACAGTGTGTCCGTACGTACCGTCGGCTAATGGCATCACAAGAATGTTTTCCTTGCCCCGCCATCTCGACGTTCCGACTAATGCCGGAGCTTTCCTCGCCGGACTCCTTCGCGGGCTTTGCAGGTAAACTGCATCTAAAATAAGTGCGGGCCTAAGACCGACGGTGGTGGAAGGTAGTCAGGAAGACAGGAAAAGAGAGAGAGAGAGAGAGAGAGAGAGAGAGAGAGAGAGAGAGAGAGAGAGAGAGGGAGGGAGAAAGAGAACATCACGTCTCTCTTTCTCATTCTCCTTCCCTTCCTCCGTCACGCTCTTGCCGGGGTCAATACGAGAAGTGGCGACACTTGAGGGGTCAGGAAGAGCAAAGAGCCGGGGTCCGCCCTCTGCTGTGCTCCGTCCTATAAAGCCCTCGTCTCGTTTGTCTACCTCGGGCGGCGGGTGACCCAGTTCCGCCGGGGAACGTAGCCGCTCTAACGACGACGACGACGTCGACGTGCTGGCGCTCGAAAGCTATCGGCCCCGGGGCGAGGATACTCTGCGCGAATTCGAGCCGACAAATTCGCCCGACGGCCGCGATCACGACCGCGGCGGCAGCGAGGCTCCTTACGCGACACTTACTTCGTAACGGTAACGGTAACGCGAACGCTCGCGAACTAGATGACCCTACGCTCGTAAAGAGAGCCGTAACTCCGCCGACGGATACGTCGACGACACGTCGTCCCGCCCGTGATCGATAGCGTATCTGCGGAATATTGAAAGCGTCATCGAGACGGCCAGATTGCCGAGACTATTAGCCTTTACCGTTGAAAATTTATAGACCGCTCCCTGCACTCCCGTATGTGTGTGTGTGTGTGTGTGTGTGTGTGTGGGTGGCGCGTCGCTATACGCTGGAATTTATTAAGCGTCGCTTTCGAAGTGTCCGCCGTCCGATTTTTCAAATTGCCGCCTCTCGGCGCGACGACACTCGACACAGCGTGACGCGAGCACGCGCGTGGAAAGTGTTACGAGTGCTTCGAGATGCACGAGCTAGTCGGGCGCGCGATATGCCTGCCTGCTGGCTTGCCACTGAAAAATGAACGGAAAAACAAATTCCCCGCGGCTTTGCTCTCAATCGGCTTCCCGCGGCTCAATGTTAACGCGATGTCGGAGCGGTATTTCTCGTAGGTTCACTCCCGAGCGAAATTCAGAGGTTTCTTTCGGCCGGAGGATTCTGTGTGTGTGTGTGTGTGTGTGTGTGCGTGTAGGAAGCCGAATCGGAAGGATTGAAAAGTTGAAGTCGAATTAATCCTCGAGGAGGTAAATCAGTTGCCTGAGACTTGGTTTCCGAATAATTAAACGCCCGGTTAATTAAACTTCCGCTCGCTTCTATCGCCCGATCGATTACGCGCCGCTTCTTCCGCGCGCGAGTATTCCAATTATTTCTTTATAATCATCATATCAATTTATTTCAGCTTATTTATTTTATATATATTATTTTTGTAATTTTATTTTCTGTTTTCTCTCTCTCTCTCTCTCTCTCTCTCGCTCGCTCTCGGATTCCCCGAGCTCCGGAGGACGCTTGAATTATGGCATCGGAAAGTGACTCGCACCGATACGCGTATCCCAGATGGGTCTCGGGAATATAGATTTTCATTGAGCGGCCGTCGCGGTCGCACAAAAGATAGATCTCCAGGCGGCGGAATAAAAGTTTCGATATTGTCGCGCGGCTGTCGACGGCGCTGCTGATAGCCGGGCTCCTTTGTTGCAGGAATTCCTGCTGGCGATCGACGTAACGTCTAGCGGCACGCCGGAGGAGAAGCTGAAATGGGCGTTCCGTATGTACGACGTTGACGGTAACGGCGTTATCGATATGCAAGAAATGACGAAGATCGTCCAGGTACTGTAACTCGTGAATAATGCATGCTGCTTCGATTTATATCTCCACTTACTTGCACTCGACCGCGACGCTTCTGATGAAATGCGGAATTTTTTATTAATACTTGACGTCACAGTTCGCTTTTCCCTTTCCCTCTGCGCGCCGCGCTCAGCTAATCAGCGACTAATCATCGATTCATTCGCATGATATATACAAGCCGAAATATTCATGCGCCCCGAGTGGGCGCGATGAGAGACACTCCCCTTTCTTCCGCACGAAAAGATTGATCGCTTGACTCAAATCGCCGAGAGTCTTTCGATGAGAAGAATTTCACGGCACGCGTGATTTCCCTCTTTCTCGATTTTGTCGCAACTGGCCGCAGCCGCGTATTACTGTGTGATCAGAAAGTATCCAAACTTTATTTTTTAAAAATCGCGAGTAAACTGTCGGTCAAATCCGTTTGCTTTCTTCGGTTGGTGTACATGCCTTTCACATTTGGTGAAAGAAAAAAAATCGTGGCGTTCCTTCAAGCCGTTTGAAAGTGGCAGCTGTTCGTGTCAGTGAAGATTGTTGTGCACGGCGATTTTTACGATGTCGAAAAATATGGAGCAAAGAATTTGTTTGAAATTTTGTGTTGCGAACGAAATTTTGTGTTTCGTTCACAAACGCATTGAAAATGTTTGCAAAGAGCTTATGGCGATGATTGTTTATCGAAAACACGTACGTCCGAGTGGTTTAAGAAGTTTCAAGAAGAACGAGAATCCGTTGAAGACGACCCACGCTCTGGAAGACCATCAACGTCAACGGACGACGCTCACATTGAGAAAGTGAAAGAATTGGTGCTCCAAAATCGTCGGTTGACTGTGCGAGAGATAGTGCGGATGAAGTTAGGATATCATTTGGATCGTACCAGCGCACAATCCGTGAATCAAAAGAAACGACCGGAATTGTGGGAAAACAACTCGTGGATTTTGCATCACGACAACGCACGATCGCATACCTCGACACTTGTGCGTGAATTTCTGCCAAAAAACTCAACGAATGTCGCTCCGCAAGCACCGTATTCACCAGACATGGCCCCCTGCGACTTTTTCCTGTTTCACCTACTGAAAAAACCACTTCGCGGACAGTGTTTCGAATCGATCGAGGACGCGAAAGAAAAATCGCTGCGTGAATTAAAGGCCGTACCGTCTGCCGCGTTGTAATTGTAATTCTGATTTTTAAAAATTAAGTTCGAATACTTTTCGATCACAGTAGTATATCCGCGTCGAGAGCGCGACGCGCGACGCCTCGATGGAACAAGAGAAATGTCGCTGCCACGCGCACGGTGAGAGAAGAAATGAATAACAGCCGCGATAAAATCACGCCGTAAATCTCCCTCTTATTTTCGTTCTTACACACACCCCTCTATGACCGTTCGCGAGACCTTCGAGTTGAGCCTTGACGAAATATCGCGCGAGTAATCACTCCCGATTCCCGCCGGTAAATCAACGCCGATTAGCATAATGGTTAATTAACGCGCGATCGCGCAGCGTGAGGGAGCCGTGAATCAACACTGTTTTTCTCTCTCTCTCTCTCTCTCTCTCTCTCTCTCTTTCTCCGCCCGCATATCCGTCCGCGGTATCTTGGCCGTTCTTGCCGGCGCGCTAATATTTCATGAATCCCCCTCGCGAGAACAGATGTCGACGTAGTCATGCGGCTATTCCACTTTGGCGCCGTACATTTCTCGGCTCGCAGCGAGCGAAGGGAAGGCTTCGTCGTGTTACACGTGCAGCCGTCGTGTCTCATTTTTAAATAAGTAATTAGAGTATCTTCTCTCCGGCACTCTCTATGAGCCAGTAGCGTGGAGCTACCGCGCAGCAGCTAGCCGGATGAATGGAATTTTCGAAAGACCTTACATAATGAATTTCTGTAAAACTGCGGCCTCGCGTTCTGCCCATCCACGGATGGGACAATCGGCTGCAATATTTAACACGGCCGCGCGATAACGAGCACATTTACTATTCATGCCGTCTCGCTGCCCGCTAAAATTTTGCAATACACATATAGCACAAATTATCGTGTGTCAGAATTCCGCGCTATACTCCGCATCAAGCCCCTGCAAGTTTCAAGTTAAACTTGAAGGACCAGTGGAGAATCTCGAGGCGCGACATTATAGTACAGGCTATTGTCTTTTGATTGCTACTTTGTTGCTTACCTGTCGTTTTTTCGCCGCGACTCGAAGAAGGACTCAGAAATGAGTTAATGTTCGATCATATCAATGTCAATCTGTCTGCCAATCCATTTTTTCTCGATTTTTAATTCCAACAAGCAGTGTGTTGGTTATACTGCAAGTAGAGTTTCGCGACAAGCAAATATTGAATAATCTAATGAAGATTAATAGGAAAATAGTCAAAGAAAACAAACTTTCTGGAAGTTCGTTTTTTTTTTTTATTATTTTTGATTCGCGTTAGAAATTTCTTGGCGAGATTTATGAGTTTAAAGTAGGCAAAGAAAAAGGAGATCGCAGGTTACAAGTTCTCGTCGCCGCTGCGTCTCGCGTTTTGCGACTTACCCAGAAAGTACAAATCGGTCGGAAACGCGGTGTTAATTAATAATAATAGCTCGATAATGATCGATAATAATCGTCGAAAGCTGCGAGTGACACTCTCGATGCATATCGCGCGTGCAATCGTCCTAGTAATTTGACCATTCTTGATCATTCGATCATCTCGGAAGTACAGAATCTTTCGAGAACATTGACGATCGCGACTGATTTCTTGGCTAGCGAAAATGCGTGCCGCGCGCGTTCATTCGGCCAATCAAAGATAATCAAAAGACGACAGTGGCTGGCGATAGCTGGGAATTATTTTGCCGCGCGTTGAAGGGGCCCAATTATTTTCGATTCTCGCACAATGCGTACGCATCCATGATCTAATCCGTGAGACTTCAAGCCAACATTGTGACCAATATTGTGACGCGTGTATCAGTAAATTGTTTGGAATTTCCATCGAGTGATCAAAATATTTCGCGGATTCGCGTGATATCGGAGAGGTTCCCGTCGACAACGTGTGTCAATTAATATGTGTGCTTTCGACCGAATCGTGTTTACGCCGAGTGTTAGTGTTAGTGTTAATATTGTGCCAGTGCGATGTACAATACAAGTGTCAGTGATTTTATCGAATCGAATCATATCCACGTGAATGTAGTGTCGGTGGTTTTTCAAATCGAGTCGCGTATTTACGCGAGTGTTAGTGTCAGTGGCACGATGAAATATCTGGAACGGCCGGAAGCAGGACACTGGATTAGGAAGGCAGGACGGAGGAGATGGGATGTCAGAATGCAAGCGATACGTCATATATTTCCAGGTATGTCAGGTCATTTATTATGCTGGATTTTCGATCCTAACCAAAAATTGAGATATCCCGGAAAACTGGAAAATTACAATCTATTCGATATTCATAGTTGATATTCATACCGTTGACAAATGAATTATAACTTTGTGAATATTATTGATTATTCCTTAAATATTCCGCTGATATTTGTTTCGCATAATAAGAAATATCGATGCGTACAATCGATACGATATTTGTAATTATTTTCTCAATCACGCAAGTCGTAAGTGACTTAAAACTGCGAATATCGGCTGCTATATTCTGCAGTTGCACTGCGATTGTTTCTCTTAATAATAATACTTTCTGGGACGTGAGTCCAGAAAAAACTCTGTCTTGAATCTTTTAACACTTTTCTTATTGTCACTACACCGTTATTATCGAATTGAAATTTAAATCCTCCTATCGAGATTTTCAATGCCAAGAAAACAAAAGAGTGTAGAATAAAAATTTGTTGTTTTTTATATTTATTTACCTATTAATCTTTATTGAATTATTTACTCATCTCCAACTCCAATAAGGCAAAATAATATTAAAAGGATAGCATATAATGAAAGTTTATGTTGTTTTATTAACCTCTGTTAAGTATTTGGAATATATATATATATATACATAGAATATTGAAATAATCGTCAATATTAAATGATCTTTGAATATTTTTTCACATCTCAACATGGAGAAAACGGCATGCCGTTTGAATCATCAAGGTAATTCAAATAGCTTGTGTAACGTTTCGAGATTCCTCATTGATCTTTCAAATTCGATTATATTTACGGGTTTAATGTAGAAACGAAATTTCGACTCAAAATACGTGCGTATATAGGAGAAATTACGCTGAAACAAATTAAACTTACAAGTACGCACAGTAAAGCAAATAATCCCATAAAATGACATTTATTATAGCAAAACTCGCTGTGAGAATTATTTACATATTATTTATATTTTAACGGTACTATCTACATACACAGTGTTTATAATGGTAGAAGCCGCAAGCACTTTGCAACAGACTTTAAATCGTGTTGCAAATTAACGAATTATTATTAATAGCATCTTACATTCTGAGAAGAGAGTTCGGTTCAGTAGTCAGATTTATCGCGACGTTTCCCCTCGCAAAGACCGTAAGAGTTGCCGCGCGGGTGAATCCCGAAAAATAAGGTAAGAGGATGGGATATAGGATAGGATCTCTCGCGACGGAGAAAATTAATTAACCGTCATTATGTGCTAACGCGCGAGCTTCTGCATTAATAGCGGAACGTGTATTTATATACGTCAACGGGCCGGAGAGAAAGAGAGACTGAAAAAGAGTCGCGATGAAGCGCGCAGCGAACGACGAAGTCGCGCTTTATAAAAGTATCGTTATGTCGTGACCTCTCAGCACATTTCTCAGCGCAGCTCTCTCATCTCGATTGCTTTCCCGTGTCTGTTCCCGCGATGCGCGAAACATTGCGTTTCCACATTAAAAAGCTCTCCCAGCTTCTCGCCTTTCCGTGTGACTACAGAAGACGAGTTTGCGAGAAGCGCGCGCCGAAAGAAGTATCCTTAATTTTCTGCACATTACCGTACACCAGCATTCGTAGGAGTTTTCTCTCACTCGTGCCGCGACCTACGCTGTTTTATCCCTCGAATGACGAGCTTTCCCTTCGCTAGTAACGTCATTCACGTTACTAGTGCGGGCTTGCTGAAATTCAAGTAACGAGTCGAGTAACGAGAAAAATAGCCCCGAGATCGTTAAAGAGCTGAAACATTTAATTATTATCGACGGAAAAGTTCCGCCCAGGCCGGCAAGGCCGCGGCGAGGAGAAAAGGGTGGGTGAGACAATGGAAGGGACTCTTTGGTGCCTGCGCCCCGCTCCGACACGTACACGTTATCGCGCGTTAAAAAGCTCATCGAGAGCCGCCCGTATAAACGCCTAGCCAGCCGCGCGTCCGTTCGGATAGCCATCTCTCCGCTCCCCTCCTCCTTCTCCTCCTTCTCCTCCTCTTATCTGCGCTATTAGAAGTTTGGAACTTCCGTGGCGGCGCGTTTCGCGGGAAATTCCGCTAACCGGTGCTCTCTGCGGCGCGCGGCGAAAATTAACGACGCAATGTTCAATGGGGAAGTTCGGCGGGTCCCTGTATTTAACACCTGACCCGGCATGCATCCACGTCGCGGTGCACACGTTGCTCCAACTCGCTCTCGACTTTACGTCTCCATCGCTGAGGCTCCGCTTGTGCAACAGCGGTTCCCCTGGGAAACTCGTTGTTCCCAACCCGCGCGGCGTGCGGTCGCGCGAAATGCGTCGGAGAGGACATGAGATAAGATTTATACCGGGGGTTTCAGACCTAACCACCCGGGTCGCTCGATTTTTTCGCTAACGTGACACTTTAGAGGAAAATATTTCAGACAAAAGTTGTTCGAAGGGCTTCGAAGGATCTATTTACTGATACGCTATGAATTTGACACTGGGATAACCTTGAAAAGTCCAGTCAAGATCAACATAAAAATCTTAAATGGATACCCCAATTTTTTATTACATCGTCTTTTTCTTTAATTTCTTAGCAATTGATTTGAATTAACAACTTTTGTCTGAAGCATTCCTTTGTTTACCTAATATTTTTTGAGATGTTTAAGGAAAACTTGATAACTTTTTCAATATTTATTCTCTCACGATATCTCGCTATTTGTCAAAAGAAAAAGTGGTGCTAGACTTTTTTGCTCTATTTAGTCTCAAGAATATATTGTTTCGATAGCGCCTTGAATTTGGTTAATTTGATGATTTTGAAATTTCCAAAAATCAGCAAGTTAACAAGAATCATTTTGCGCTATTGTAAAAAATATATTCTCGAGACTAAATAGAGCAAAGAAGTCTAGCGCCACTTTTTCTCCTGACAAATAGTTCGCGACAGATATCGCGAGTTAAATATTGAAAAAGTTATCAAGTTTTCCTTAAATATCTCAAAAAATATTAGGTAAATAAAGAAATGTTTCAGACAAAAGTTGTTCAAATTAATTGCTAGAGAAGGATGACGTAATAAAAAACTGGGGTATCCATTTAAGATTTTTATGTTGATCTTGACTGGACTTTTCGAGGTTATCCCAAGGTCAAATTCATAGCGTCAGTAAATAGATCCTTCGAAGCCCTACAACTTTTGTCTGAAATATTTTTCTCTAAAATGTCGCGTTAACGAAAAAATCGGGCGACCCGGGTGGTCTGAAACACCCGGTATAGCGCGATGCATGCAGATGAGTTGCACTCTTGTATTTATTCTCACGGTCGCGATTACACCACTCGGTTCGCGCGTGGCCGAGGGGCCGGAAATAAAAATACGCTTATTTGTCGGATGATAATTTGTACGATCGCCGAGCGAGAAGATTGTAATTTTCGATACGAGCGTATCGCGGCAACAATACATTCAAGGTTTAATTTGCTCGTGAACGTTATATTTATCTCGCAGCAGCGCGCGAGTTTTCCACCACGTTACTTTTCTCGCGGGGATCTTCTCCACGTGCGCTTCTTGGAGAGGCTGGTTTAACCCTCCGGATGAGAAAAAGTGTTTCGCGCGATTGCAGACAGAACCGAAGGGGATTAATTCCATTTAAACAATCGTTTCTTGTGCACCAGTGCACCAGAACAGTGTAGCAGTACATTCGCGATAAAATTAATCTGCTTTATCGCGCGCGAAACTCTCTCCGTACCGGGCGAGAAAATAATAAATTCTGCGCATTTATCTCTGTCCGGCGATTCCGCCGGGCTAAACGAAAAATGTACGAAAGAGATTATAAATAAAGGATCACAGAGCGGGGTGCGCGCGTTTTAGCGAGTCGAAGTATCGGTCGCGCTATAAATTATATTTTTGGGGCGACACAATTTATCACTTGGCCGTGAACGCATATGAAATATAAGTACGCGCCCCCCCCCCCCCGTCGTCGGTGTACGATTTAATTCCGCATTTCTTCACTTCTCGTTTTTCGGGGAATGCATTGTGCGCTTCGTGGTCATGATAATTAAGGCAACGTTGATTTTTCATCTCGTCGGTATCCCTCTTGCAGTTTATCATTCTCTTAGCGCGTCGCATTGAGATCGATTTTTTTGTTGATTCTTCGCGCACGGAGTCACCAGAATTTAAAATAATTTAGCGATCTGACGAAGAGAGCGTTATATTTTTCATAATGTCATGAGAGAAACCGCGAAGGTAAGATAAAATTCTTCGAGGCGTGTCTTCCCCTAATTCCATTCGCGGCAGGATATAAAAGGAAGGAAATCGCGCATGCCGATGGTCGAATTCGAACGTTCATTAATCAGGAGATGTTTTCTCCCTCCTTTCTCTTTTCTTACAAAGTCGAACCACGGGACGTTTGATCTCTTGATGATGGATTTAGAACAGATACCGGCGCGCGCGGGGAAAAAAAAACGTGACACACGAGTTGGTGGTCGCTCGTTGGTTTCCGTGATTTATGACTTCGTCGCGCCAATGCGATGCGTCTCTCCGCGTTTTCCTAGTAAAGATAATATTTCGCGCAAGCAAGTCTCGTCGACGTTGGTATACGTATGCAAATATACATCGAGATATCTTTCACTGCGCTGCACTCAACTCACACCTGATGTAAGGCATCAGTTTACGCATTACATTTCATTTCACGCAGCATGACTTATAAATAGAGCGCATCGTGCGTTTTCGCATCTGTTAAATCGATCATTACGTCTCTTCTGTAAAAGCAGCTTTTACACTCCGGATTTGTGATCACATCGATGTTTTCTCTATATTTCACTGCAAGTGAACGCATTTGATGATTTTCCGCGCGAGAGCCGACGGACAACACATTACATGTTTGACCTTGCCTTTGCATGATAAAAGTATTATGCATGAAAGATGCTTATTTTCTCACATCATATTGCGTATTAATGTTTACGAACATGCGACAGTTGGAACGTTATTAACGTCTGGGTCACGCCTGGATAAGCGCGATATCACACCGCGCGAATCGAAAGCGGAAGGCGCAAGGTCCTACCTTCCAATCACAGTGCCTGGTTGATTGCTCTGTTCGCGAGGTGTATCGCGATGGGAAATCCGTCTTCCGCAACGGAAGACTGTCTTATCGGTCTGTCTTATGTCGCGATACCCGAGTGACCGGTTTCCGATCGATCCCTACGTGAGGCTGAGCGTCACGTAGAGAAACCAAGTGTGTTATCCTTCTGTTCCCAGGCGATATACGACATGCTTGGCGCGTGTTCGAGCAACAGGCCGGCGGACAGCGCGGAGGAGAGGGCGAAGAATATATTCGCGAAGATGGACGAGAACAACGACGGGCAGCTGACGCAGGACGAATTCCTGAAGGGCTGCCTTCAGGACGAGGAGCTGTCGAAGATGCTCGCTCCTTAATCCCGACGCCGCGTATCCGCACGAGCCGTCGACGCGCGAACATGAAAAGAATAAAACAGTAAAAAAGACACCACACGCTCTCACGACTCTCAGAAAAGCATTCCGGAAACGGAACCATCAAACAACGCCAGCAACGACGAGCCACCACTTGAAATTGACGCCCGCACGTACACACACACACACACACGCGCACACAAATCTCTCTCTCTCTCACATACACACACCATTGCCCACATTTACACACGTACACGATAATTTTCTATTACTACGAGACGAATACGTTATCATTGTGGCGGCTCGATAACGAGCCCATCGCTCGTACCGGATGACGAAGTACGAGCGGTGATAAATGGACGAGAAGGAGGAAGCCGATATCGAAGATGATCGAAAATGACGAATGATGAACGATGAACAAAGAGAGAGAGAGAGAGAGAGAGAGAGAGAGAGAAAGGGAGAGACGATATTTCGAGCAGAGTCGTGACGGCTCATTCGAGAAGGAGAGGAGGAGGAGAGATAGACAAAAAGAAAGACAAAGAAAAAGAAGAGTTTCTCGATGTTGGAATTGCATGTCCGCAGGACGACACAACGACAATGCCGACGATTGGTCCCAAAACGAGAAATCTCAGGGACACGGAGGAGCACAGGACGACGCCGACGACGACAACGAGGGACCCGAATCAGGCCAGTCGCCTTCCTAGAAGACCCGTGGTTGCTCTCGCATTTACTGCTTGATGCTCATCTTGCCATCACAGCGGGATTTGCTCGCGCATGTCGTTCATGTCTAGGAGTTTCTTTGGACCAGTGTCGGTGGAATTAGCAAGGGTGGAATCTTCGGTTCACAGGCCGACGCGATTACGTCGCTGAAGGAGAGACGGAGAGAGAGAGAGAAAGAGAGAGTGTGTGTGTGTGTGTGTGTGTGTGTGTGTGTGTGTGTGTGTGTGTGTGTGTGTGTGCGCGCGCGCGCGTGTGTGCATGTGTGAATAGCGGCACGGTGGCTTTCGAAGCCTATGCTTGCACCGGCAAATTGGCTTGACTAATCCTGAACAAACGACTCGCCCGGGGTTCCCTCTTTTCGGATTACAGTTCCGCCTAATAACGTGTGGCCACGGGCAAGGAAAATTTCGGATTAATCCTCTGATGCGCTTTAGAGAACCTTAAGGACTTTGCACACGCGGCACCGTATAATGTTCCCCTCGCGGATACGGCTTCGGGAGGGGCAGGTGGGAGCGCCGAGGACAACACCCCGTGATTCTGGTTGCGCTCGAGATTTATCAGTGGAATCCAGCGATTCACCGCAGGCGAGTCTCGCCGGCGAGTCTCAGCGGCCGTCTCCTTGTTGTTCTCGTAAGCCCGTTCACTTTGTTGCCGGTTACAGCAACTTTGCGCAAGTTTTACTCATTGTCGTCGCTGCCGCGGATCACACGTGGTCGCGGATGCTTGCAAAGCGCGTTCACACTCAGCACTCGATCTGTCATCCCCTTGAACGCGTATTCTTCGTGCACATTCGACACAGGACTACATCTTCTCCCTCCCTCCTCCCTCCCCCCCCCTCTCTCTCTCTCTCTCTCTCTCTCACACACACAAGTGTGTCTCACATAATTTTCACGTCACACACAATCGGACTCGGTCCGACCGCGTTCATCCGAGCGTTCCTCAGGAGCTCGAGCCGTGTGTGTATGTGCGTGTGCGTGTTGCGTTCTGAAGAAAATTCCTATATAAATGTATATTGAACAGCTCAAAGCCGACTGTGATTTTCGAGTCTCGCGTAAGTTTGTTTGACGGCCGCTGGGGTCGTCTCCATTCCACACTTGTCGCTCCATTCCGTCGCTGACAAGGCCCGCGAGAGAGAGAGAGAGAGAGAGAGAGAGAGAGAGAGAGAGAGAGAGAGAGAGAGAGAGAGAGAGAGAGAGAGAGATTGTGCTCCGGATTGTGCCGCCGCGGAAGTCGCGACGAGATTTACCCACTGTCCCACCCTCGTAACCTCCTAGGCGGTAGGACACAAATCGAACGACGGCGCATCAGACCGATTAATAACCAGGATTAGGATCGGCCGGAAAACGGCCGGTGCAGTCGCGCGAGCGGCGAGATGATATCGCGCGTTATCACGGTGGAAAGCGCAGCGAGCGAAAAACTACGGGACGGAAGGAAGGCGAGAAGGAGTCGCCGCCGGGGACTGCCGGGGACTGCCGGGGAGCGCAGGCGGGAAAAGTGCTGGAGGAGCAATGCGGAGGTGCGAACCTCGGTAGAACGAGTCAGCGAGACACTCGCGAGGAACCGCGGCGTGACGCGCTTTTCACGAGTCGCGTCAAATGTGTCAAATCGATCGCGCGGCTCGAGCTGTGGTAGGTCGGATAAAGATCGCAAGGTGGCCGAGGAAGGCGACAGGTACGACGCGTTACACGAGAGCCGTCTCGCCGGCTTGACGTCGACGAAGACGAAGGCGATGTTACGCGCTCGCGCGCGAGATGGTAACACAACGAATTGCGACGAGGTAATGTCGATTAGAGATGGGGCGAATAATCCTTTAAGGGATCCTTACGTTCATTTTATATCGGGCCACCGGAGCCGAGCTGTTGGTCACGTCGAGGGCTTGCAGCATCGACCGACACGCCGCGCGTCATCGTCCCTTTCGTCCGAGTACATTATGTACCACGTTGTATGTGCGGACGTCATCGGACGCGAAGTAGCGAGCGGTCGCGCGCACGTCCGTCGTATCCGAGGAAAGTCCATTGGACCTCCGTTGGCCGTCCGCGCGGACGTGGGCTGTGCGCGAGTGAGCGGAGAAGCTCGGCGAGCGAAGGGAAACGGTGAACGCGCGGTGTAAGGGCGGTGGAAGGGAGGTGGGTCGCGACCTTCGAACAAGCTCTCGAAAGGCTCGTGCAAATTTCACAGATCTCCTCCCTTCCGCGCGTTCCTCTCCCGGCGTTCGTTGTCCTCGCCGGGATCGCGCGTATATCTCTTCTCTTCTCTCCCTCTCCGCATTTTCCGTAGCCGCGAGCGCCGTGAGAAATCGAAGAAAAGAGCTCCGGTCGATAGCGCCGACCGAGAGAGCGGTGACGCGCAATTGGGCTAATTGCCGCCGTGAGAATAACGACGAGTCGCAACTCCCCCTCCCCCCTCCCCCTCCAGCTGTGCTGGACACCGGCTCCGCGGGAATGTCGTCCCTGCGCTTAATTGTGACTTTTTCACCGCGTTTTGTAGAGCTAGATTAACGTTACAGCCGGACTCCAGAAGGGCTTCGTTAACCCTCGCGCTCGGAGTTAACCGGCGCTGAGGGCCGTCGGAAGGAAAGCGGCCCCTTCTTGATTGCGACTGAGGAGCGCGCGGCTGTTGAAAAGTAAATCGCGAGTACCGACGGATGTCTGTCTCTCACACACGTGTCGCGCGTCGTGCTTTACGCAAAATCCGATCGACCCAGAGTCCACGGACTTCTAAGACATCTCTTGAGCACGTCTGTGGAGGGCGTTTGACAAAAACATGGCGTCCTTTGTCGGAGGATTCCCGGGCGAAGTGCGCATTACCTGGGCGCATCATTGCGAAAAAAGGCCTCGTTGTTTCGTTGTTAAATCCCCCGGCCGTTGATCGATCCGGGGACAATCGACCCGACAACCATCTCGTCCGTTGCACGGCGTGCTCGTTGACGTATCGCAGACGTCCCGACGTCTTCCACCGGAGGCTCTGACTTCCTTCTTTCTCTTCTCTTCTCTCCTCGGCGCCGTACACGCTGAAGCAATATGCATTGTGTGTGTGTGTGTGTGTGTGTGTATGTGTGCGTGCGTGTGTGTGCGTGTGCGTGCGTGCGTGCGTGCGTGCGTGCGTGTGTATGCGCCCGCGGGGAAGTACAATGTGCATCGAGGTCAACGCTTTTGCGCGCGTATGTATTTTAAGATTTATGAACAAGCGTCACGCAAGCGTATATATCGGATACGCAAACGTCGGCGCGTGACGTTCTCCTTTATGCGGACACGCTTGGGAGGCTCACAGCTCGTGCGTGGAAGGCAGACAAATCGGTTGTTTGCCGGGAGTCGGGAATCCTGCGCCTTGCGCGATGAGCCAGCGAGACGAGGTAAGCCTTTGCCAGCGAGCGTCTCTAATTGAACTCTCTAATTCAGCGTTTGGTATCGCGCGTGGTATTCGCGCGGCGCATGCCCCCTCCCCGCCGCCTCCGCGAGTAACGCGTATTATTCGCGGAGGTGGCACTGCCTGCGCCCGACTAGAAATTTATCCCATGGTCCTGATCGGGTTAACCTCATCTGGACATCAGGTCCCAATAAGATAATACTATCGGATCCTAGTAAGTCATGTAACGCAGCGTGGATATCAGGACCTTAGTAAGGATTCATAGTCAAGTCCTTATTGAGTTATCTTATGAAATCCTTATTACGTTTTTCTTTTTTTTTTTTTCAAATTATGGCTCCTGATTACTCGCCACGGCTATATTGGATGATGACGTTAGAAATAAGAAATGACACGCTGAATATTCTTTCGTGTCATTTCCAAATAAAAAGATATTTGCATGAAACAATATTTCAGATCGCTTGAGCATACTTGTGAAATGTTTCGGAAAAGAAACATCAAAATGAATATCACAAGATCATAAAGTGTCACGAGATGACGAGACATAAAGGAGTGTTAAAGAGAAAAGTTGCATGCCACGTTAATTTCACAACTATTTATTGACTGCTAAAAGAAGGATAGTTTCTACAGCATTTTACAAATGTATTCAAGTGATCTGAAGTGTTTTTTCAATGCAAACGTCTTTATATTTGGAAATGACACGCAAAAATTGTTTTGTTAAAACTTGATAATGCAAATCATATTACGTGCAATGAATAAGATCCCGACAAGGACCTGATTAACTGAACCATATTATATCATACACTAGGTTGCTACATTAAGGTCCTAATGTGGACCCAATCATTATAACCTTATAAAGATCTTTCTTACTCATTTGTCGTTAGGACATTTCAAGGACTGACTTACTCAGGATTACCTTTCGCTCACCCTATTAGGTCCTTATCGATGTTAGGTGAACCTGATCAAAATTTCTAGTCGGGTGGCGGAGATCCGGCGGCGATACTTCTGCGCAAGTGAGTGCCGCGCAATCGCACGACGCAAGACGTGCGTCTCTCGTTCTCTCGCGACACGCAATGGTCCGAAGAGCGCCGCGCTCGCGGTCGTTTCGTCGCAACGCACAGAATTAATGACCGCGGTACGACCGTCGACGCGTCAGCGACTCGGAAAAGCGGCCGCGTCGAGTCCGCCCGGATGACGTTTCGTCGTCCTCGTCGTTCCAACCGAATTCTCGCGAGTATCGCCTCGAGTCGCGAATGGCCCCGAAGTGTCGCGCGCGCCGACACTCGCACGCTGCAGGTTGCGGCGCGATTGCCTCGTTAACCGTTTCCGCCGCTGCCGGAGATACTTGATACGATTCGCCGGC